TCTTAAAAGGTTAGACATAGAACTACCATATGGCCGAGCAATTCTCTTCCTGGTGTATATCCAACAGAATTGGATAGATACTTGCACACCCATATTCATAGCATCATTATTCACAATAGCCAAAAGATGGAAACAACGCAAGTGTCCATGAACAGATGAATGGATAAAGAGATATGGTACATCCATATAGTGGAATATTATTCAGCCATGAAAAGGAATGAAGTTCTCACACATGCTACACATGGATGAAGCCTGGAAGCATTTGCTTAGTGAAATAAGTCAGACACAGAAGGATAAATATTGTATGATGCCACTTATACAAGATACTTGGCATAGACAAACTCATAGAGGCAGAAAGTAGAATGGTGGTTACCAAGGGCTGGGAGGAGGGGGAAAGGAGGAGTTATTATTCAACGGGTACAGAGTTTTTGTTGGGGATGATGAAAAAGTTTGGGTGTAGATAGCATAGTGGTTAAACATTATGAATTTTTTTTTTTTTTTTTTTTTGCGGTACGCGGGCCTCTCACTGCTGTGGCCTCTCCCGTTGCAGAGCACAGGCTCTGGACGCACAGGCCCTGGACGCACAGGCCCAGCAGCCATGGCTCATGGGCCCAGCCACTCCGCGGCATGTGGGATCTTCCCGGACCAGGGCATGAACCCGTATCCCCCGCATCGGCAGGCAGACCCCCAACCACTGCGCCACCAGGGAAGCCCAAATTTGCCAGTTTTTTACTGTTACTGAAGTTTGGGTCCGAACCCTGACAGAGTTGAAACCAAGAAATTTCCATTTTGATTTTGTGAGTGATTTTTGCATTCTAGGGAAGAAGGACGTTAGCTCTTGGAGTTAATTTGTCCTTTTGTTCTGGAAGGAACGCTTTGATGAGGCTTTTCTTTTATTTGTAAGTCATCAGGTATAAGGCTAGATGTTATGGGACAACCTTCCAGGAGAGAGGACCTATCCTGGTCACATGTGATGGAGCAGTGCTTTAGTGAGAAAAAAGAAAAGGTAGTGGTGATGAGGAAGGCCAGTGGCATGTGGGGCTGCTGATATCTACTTGAAGTTTCTTCTTCTGCTCTGTAATTCCCTGGTGTTAGGCTAGAGTCCTCAGTAGATGCTGTTAAACTGTTGTTGTTTTCACTGTGCTTTGGAGAACTGTGAGGGTCCTTGGGGGAAAGAGAGGCAGCTGGTGCTGACCAGGAGGGGCAGCAGTGAGAGACAATAAGAAATAACCAGGGGCTTCCCTGGTGGCACAGTGGTTGAGAGTCCGCCTGCCGATGCAGGGGACAGGGGTTCGTGCCCCGGTCCGGAGAGATCCCACATGCCGCGGAGTGGCTGGGCCCATGAGCCATGGCCGCTGAGCCTGCCCGTCCGGAGCCTGTGCTCCGCAACGGCAGAGGCCACAACAGTGAGAGGCCCGCACATCGCAAAAAAAAAAAAACAACAGGATGACTCTGGGGACAAGGACATCCTCCTAGGGAGTCCCCAACCGATGAGAGGAGGAATGGGGACATAGCTGGATTTTCTGTTATGGGTTACTCAGGAGAGGGTAGCCTGCGAGGGCTGGAGAACGTGGGATGTCCAGGCTACACGCACTCAGCCACAGGAGGAAGTCTTTCAGACACTGTCAATTTAACATTTAATACTAGCATGTAAGTAATATGCTCTGGGTGTGGACTCATCCCTGGGGGATTCGATGAGCCCAACAGCCCTCTAGCTGTGTTGTTATCATCCTACCCACTTGTCTTCATCTTTATTTTCTGTAGATTGTTGGGGTTTCTTTTTAATTACAAAAGTTATCTGTACTCCTCATGAAAATCCAAATGATGCAGAAGCCCATCGGAGAACATTTTGTCAAGTGTTATGTTAAAATCAAGATGCACCAGGCCTGTGGCATTTGCCAGATCTCTTTGGCAGGGAGGTGCTTGTTGGCTTGGTATGCCTTCTTGTTGGCCCTGGCTCCCTCTCCCAGCTCTAGAATGTGGTCCTGAGGTCCATGACCATAAGCATCCTGAATGAACAAGGATGTGGGCAGACACTTGAACTAGTAGGAGAATCACATTTGCTTTTAGGTTCCTCAAGGTGGTGTTGTCCCTTAGCAATAGTATTTGAGGGCCTAGCTAGGGTTTTATGAGTGGCAATGGAAATAGCATCTAGAAGAATATTCTGTTACTTTATATGGTAAAATGTAGACTTTTAAGTTTTACACAAAGGTAGTAGAGATCTGTTGCTTTTAACTGCCTTACATCCTTTCCCTCTTCTTTTGCAAACAGCACCCCAATTTGGGGGAACCACTCCTTTCCCATACTTGACCCCAGTGGTCTGTGAGGGGCCACCCCTATACCCTGGCTCTTTGGATGAGCGTGTGACCTAGGCCTGAACAAGAGTGACGTGTCCTCCTATCACAGTGACCTCAGAGAGGGTCAAGTGGTCCAGTGGGCCAGCCATGGTCAGACCCAGGACTTTTTGCCTCTGTTATCATTAAAGAAAGGCTCTCCACCTGCAGAGCTGCTCCACTGGGGGAAGTCAGCCTGAATTCAAGTGGCCACCTTTGTCCCCACAGATGAGCCCTGAGCCAGGCTGAGAGATGGGGAAACTCAGGTGCCAATGACATCGTTTGCTCATAGGGGTCCAGCTGTATCTGAAGCCATCCCTGAAATTCTCCATCTAAACCAATTTGAATGGAGTTTCTGTCACTGACAGCTAAGAGGCCAGAATAAGGTTATCCTTTTGACAACTAAAATGTATCTACTTGGAGAAAATAACTGGATTGGTAGTTGTATTTTGTTTTTTCTATATTGAATGTATCAATTATTAGATATATGAATGTATGAGTGGAAGAGACCAAATGAGGCTGTTTTCAATTATTGTACAAGCAATATTTGGAGTTTCTTAAGTTCGTGAGAGTTTTATAATACTCAGGCAACAATTGGGCAAGGTAAACACGAGGAAAGGTGATTCCCATGCAGTGTCCAAATTATTGGAAAAACATCTTCAATTCTTTAGTTTATGACAAGTTAAGACAACTATCCCCATCAACTCCTTAGTTCAAACTACAAAAATGGAGGAGGCAAAGAAAGGAAGTATAACAGACGGAGTGCATGACATTAAATGCAATTAAATGCATTAAAAGCAGTTTTGGGGAACACTGCCTTTCCTCACAGAACGGACACAGCACCACCAGTTCTTGTCTGTTTTAGATGCTGTCCACTCACAACAGGTGACTGGTAGGCCAGTGCCACACTCAGTCTATCGTTTTTTCCTGGACTTCTGGGGAAATGCCTTTTTTGATGTGTGTGTATAAGTGTGATTTTCTTAAGTCTTCGTTGACTGACAGGTATGATCCAGACCTCAGACTAAGAGACAGGGAAGCCTACATCAGGTATGATATGGAGTCCTTGTGTGGCCTTGAAAAAGCCACTTAACTTCCTGGCCTCAGTTTCCCTGTCTGCAAAACAAGGCTCATAATCCAAATCTAGATGCCTCCCTGGGCTGCCGTGTGCATTAATTACTATTTATCGGGCAAGTGGAAGTTGAGCTGTGTTAATTATTATTATCATTTCTGGGTTTTTCAGCCATGTTGAAGCCAAGCCCTTGCCTTGTTTTTAGTTCCTGAGTTCTGACAAGGTATAGCCCCAGGTGGTGAGAAGGGCCATAAATCCAGGCCAATCAGCAGATTTATGCATGTCTCACCACAAGGGACTGGCCCCGGGAGGCTCTGTCAGCCACAGGCTTTGGTTCTGGAGTTCCAGGGCAGCCCAGAGACCCACAGGCTTTACTAGAACCTCGTTGGAACAGAGCAAGAGTTGTGAGGCTGCTTCCACACTCCTGTCCCTCGCCTCTTTGTGTACCTGCCATTTAATTTACTAAGGAGTCTGGAGATCAATAAGAGACGCTCACCCTGTCATTAGACAAGGTCCTAAATTGCAAGTTACAGGTGGAGAAGCTTCAGAAGTGTTGTGATCACTCATGAAGAAAGATGACTAATCGCTTTCTTCTGGTCACTTATTTGGCTGATGACTTCGGTTTCTACTCTCTAAGTACAACAGTTATCAGATTTCCATGTAAGTGGGTAGCTGACAATTGGCACATCCAGCTTCACTGACTACGCTTGTGGGTTGACCTAGTCGCAGATGCCTCGTTGTGCTTTTCCCAGAGTCATTTAAACTTCAGGGCACGGGTGAAGGAGAGAAAGCTCACCTCACCCCACCTGCTGCCATCTGCTTCCCCACTCAGGATCACTGCTGAGTGTCTGGGAGACACTGCACTTTTAATCTTTTGCAGGGAGGTTAATCTCCTCATATCCAGTGCAAGTTGGATAAACAGTACCAGCAAGTTTGGGTCTTGGCCACGTGTAGAACCCTGGAGTTTAGAAAATGATGCCCAAATCCATGGGCATTCTGAAGAGGAGAAGGGGTGAAGCTGACCGTCCAGGGCACAGATGCCACCTATATCCTGTATCATCTCACTTGGCAGGGGCTGGAACAATCTGATTTTAGGAAAATCCTAAGCCCCCTGGTGAAGCACCATGCTTACCCACCGAGGACTGAGTCCCATTGTCCAAGTGCAGATCACGTCCCTGCCTGTGTGCTTGACATCCTCGTCAAGGGACATGCCCACATCTATTTGCACTGATTCATAACCGTCTCCTTCCAAATTTTGTTCTTGATGTTGATACCATCCCCCGACTCTTCACCCCACATGCCCCGGCCCTCACTTTCCCCAGATCTGCAATCCCCTGGCGGACAGGCAGGTCCCGCCTGGCTCTTTCGTCTGCTCAGCACAGCAGGCAGACAGCAGGGATAGTGGTGAGTGCTAGTTAACTAATTAATGATTATAAAGCACTTTGAAAACATAAAGAACTAGATAAATGCCAAGTATTATTATTATTAATGATGAGAAGGCTGTTTAGTCATCCTTTGCCTTGAACTCAGCTCACTGCCCCCACTGTGGCCGCAGGCTGATCTGTGAACTAGGATGAGAGCCCTCCTCCTCTCTGCAGGCGCTGTTTCACACTGAGTCAGTGACCAAGGTGAAGGGCAGGGGCCAGGAAACCTCTCCTCGTCTCCCACCTGCTCTCGAAGCACTGCCTGCTTTGCGGCTGTCATGCTAACGTTTACCGAAAGCCAGGCTCTGAAACTGCCGCTCTGTTTCCCATTCACCTGTTTGGTAAGTTCGCTGATGTTTATTTGATTTCTTGATTACGGTGATTAGAACGTCTCTGTGTGAGGGCAGGATGGAGCCCAGAGTGAAGCCCTACTTTCCATTTAGCGGATGGACTCACTTGTTCACGTGATCTGATCATTTTCTCTTTTACGTATTTTTAGGCCTGAACTCTTTTCTAGATACTCCTATGTACACGTGCTCATTGACAGAGTAGCTCTGTGTGCTGGGGAAGGCAGGTGGTGTTTTCCCCATTTTACAGACATTAAGGCCCCAGGGCGTCTAGAACCTAGTGACAGGGCCAGGGTGCACCCAGCTCTCCTGAGCCCCAGACTGAGCAGTGCCCTCCGACACGGGCAGTGATTGCAGCAGACTCCAGACACCTGGCAGGATATGCCAGAAGACATTGAAGAGGCTCCCTGATACATTTGCCCGAGGCAAACCCTCTCAGGAGCACCTGGTCTCTGGGTGCTGACCGAAGCCCCAGCACTGTCCTGCCTGAGGCTTGTGATTCCAGAATCTGACATCCCATAGAACGGCAGGGCCAGAGAGGTCTCAGAATCCGTCTGTGTAATGCCCTCCCTTCACAGATGACGAATCTGAGATCCAGTCAAACTACTGGTCCAAGATGACAGAGCTGGTTAGGGAATGAGGCTTGAGGCTGGCCTTCCCACTCTGCAGCCTGGCTTCTTCCTCAATAGCCATTTGTAATTCAGGGTGGTGAGGTTTCAGGTGGTGTCATGTTCTTTTCTGTATTTTCCAAAATTTCCTTCTGAAATGATAGAACTAATCTGAAAACAAATGATTGCTCTATGTGAATACATGCAAATGTGGAGTGCTGCATTTCTCTTCCCCAAGCACAGAACTCTTCTTGGATCGGTAGATGTTCTTTCAGCGGAGGCTCAGAGGGTGCAGACATTGCTGGTTATCTTAGCCCTTTGAGCTGCTGTAACAAAATACCACAGTCTGGGTGGCTTATAAACACCAGAAATATATGGCTCCCAGTGGTGGAGGCTGAAAGTCTGAGATCAGGGTGCCCACATGGCCGGGTAAGGGCTATCCTCCAGTTTGAAGACTTCTCTTTGGGTCCTCACATGGCGGAAGGGGTGGGGGCTGTGTGGAGGCCCCTTTTTATTTTTATTATTATTTTTTTAATTAATTTAATTAATTTAATTTATTTTGGGCTGTGTTGGGTCTTCATTGCTGCACGCGTGCTTTCTCTAGTTGCTGCGAGCGGGGGCTACTCTTTGTTGCGGTGCGTGGGCTTCTCGTTACGCTGGCCTCCCTTGTGTAGCGCGGGCTGTAGGCATGAGGGCTTCAGTAGTTGTGGCGTGTGGGCTCAGTAGTTGTGGCTCATGAGCTCCAGAGCGCAGGCTCGGTAGTTGTGGCGCACGGACTCAGTTGCTCCGCGGCATGTGGGATCTTCCTGGCCCAGGGCTCGAACCTGTGTCCCCTGCACTGGCAGGCGGACTCCCAACCACTGCGGGAGGCCCCTTTTTAAAGAGAACTAATCCCATTCGTGAGGACTCCACCCTCATGAGCGAAGCACCTCCCAATCCTAACACATTGCCCTGGGCATTAGTATTTCAACATATGAATTCGGGAGCACGCAAACCTTCAAACCATTGTGCTGGCTGTCTTCTCCCAGCTTAGTTCCCCAAAGGAGGCATCTCAACAGACCTACTACTTGGTTCTAGGTCTAAACCCTCAAAGGTGGGGCTGTGTGGCCTTGGGGTTGGGAGGGACGGTTGATCTGATCCTACAGCCGGGGGTGCAGCCTCTCCTGAAGGGGCCACTGCTGCTGTGAGGACAGCCTCAGAAACCATTTGAAGCGCCCTTCGGTGACTCTGAGATCCAACTAACACCACACACTGTGTGCGCCCCTGACCACGCTCTGTGGCCTGGTGCTGTGGCCTGAGGTGCTGTGGGATTTCTTTTATTAAATAGTGAGTTTATTACATAGCTCCGTTTTTTAAAATTGCAGCTTCAGAATACATTGAAGGTCAAATGTGCATCGAGAATGCAGGCCTGGCCTGGAATGGAGCTAGAAAGCAGAGCAAAACCCGGCAAACCCTCGGGTTCCACCCTCTCCTGCCCCCTCTCAGTTCAGAGCAGCCCCGTGAGTGAAGCCACAGCCCTGCTCACAGCGGCGGGTGAGGTGGGCACTGACAGCAGATTTGATTCTCCTCATGTACTTTTGAGCAGATGCTTTATCCTGAAGAATTCAGGAGCATCTGGAGAGAGCAGAGGAGAGACAGCATCCAGAGGAGAGACGCCAGCGGTGAGGCTGACTCCGGAAGAGGCATCCGACCCACAGGTCATGGGGAAAGTAAGGCAAGCACATCCCAGAAAAATCACCCCCACCCCACCCTGGAGTTTTCTGGCATGAGCTATAGCATAATTCACATGGCCAAGTGATACAAAAGAAAAGTAGCTTCTCAAATCTAGAATCATCGCTCAGCACAGCCATCCCTCTCTTCCTTTTTCGGCAGAGCTAACATGAATGGAGCACTTACGGCATGTCGGGCATGATTACATACAGTCTCTCATTTAACCCTCACATCAGCTGAGGAGCTCACTTCTACAGATGAGGAAGCTAAGGCACAGAGAGGTTAAGTGGCCTGCCCAAGGACACACAGCTAGTATGTGGTAGAACAGGCATTTGAACTGTGTCATCCAGTCTCCAAAGCCCAGGCTTCCATCTCTTTGGTATTTAGAGACCACAGTCCCATCCACAATCTCTGTAATTAGAGGTTTCAGTGGAAGTAGAAAATATTTCAGGATCTCTTATGGTGAAAGAATTGCCCAAGAAGTGTTAGGAAGGCCGAGAGGCCAGTTGAGTCACCTGATGGGGGATTTCTTCCCAGGGATGGTGCTCTTGGTGAAAGAAGGAAGCACACAGAGGAGCTTTGCAGCTGAAGAACAGGATCTGGGTGGGCGTCTGTGTGGAGCTGCCATGCTCGGGACACAGAAAGCCAGGCTGGCTCGGCTCGGAGAGAGACTCGCGCACAATGATGTTAGTTGCCCGTGCTTTGAACCCCTCAATGCCATTCCCACTTCCATCAAAATCCACTTACAGACACTGCTTTAGTCAGTTGGACTTTACAAGCATCAAGGCATAGATGCTGGAAAGAAGGGATTTCTGAAATGCTACCACATGTTTGAAAGGTTGTGTGCAGGCTGTTGTGTCGTGTTTGGCTTTGGCTGGACCTGGCCGACTCCTGCCCCCCAACAATATTTAACAAGCACCTTCCAGAAGACGCAGCTCTGCATAACCTGTGCTAGGAATTTGGGCCTCTGCCCTGAATATTGGTCCTATTTCACATGTACCTCATCAACCTGATAACATTCCTCCCAGCTGAAGAGTCACGGTGGTGGAGTGCGCAGGGCAGGGAAGCTCAGAAACACAGGACCACAGGACTTAACCTACAGAAAGGCCTTCATCCGAGCATCACAAAGCACTGACGGACAGTAATTAATCCTCACAACGCCTGTGCTCGGAAGGTGAGTGATCACCTGGTTTTTATAGATTGGGAGGACTTTCTTCAGGCAGCCCCTCCCTCGAGAAGCTGAGACTGGATGGTGGGGCAATCCTACCTCTGAAGTGGGGGAGAGGCAGAGAGGGTGGCTCAGTGGGTGGAAGCCAGGCCCGTGTCACCTGGCCACCTTTCCCTCCCCAGGACACACGTTCCCCAGTGCACACTTACTGTGGCTGCGAGCGGGGGAGAGGGGGTTAAGAAGATTCTCAGAGATTCAAGAAACCAAAGGCGGGGTGAGGAGTAGAAGAGAAAGAGAATGAAAAGCAAAAAATAGAGCAGGAGGAGGTTAGAGGTTCTCTCTGACTTCCTGTAAGTATAATCCGACTGGCCACATGTGAGGGAAACCAAATGTCATGTGAAGCAGTGCAATTGTCATCCTCAGGAGGTGGGCCTTGTTGGGCGAAAGGTCAGAATAATCCCTTCTCTAGCAAAGCAGAAGTCCCAATGCTATTTTTGGAAACTCCTAGAATTTGCCACCACAACATGGTATGAGAAGAGCCAGAGTTACAGTTCATCACCTTGCAGTGCAACGTCACCCTTCTCTCCACTGTGGCCGATAGGCTTCTGAGAAGTGATCAGAACAGATGTTAGTAAAGTGCATCACACCTCGAGCACACTGGGGCTCCTCGTGGTTACAGGACTTGGCGGGGAGGATCAGGGCAAACAAGTCATGACCCCCCTGAGGCAGCGGTTGGAAATGTGGGCTTTTTAGTTCTGCTGAGCTGAGCTCCAATCCCAGCCCCACCTCCCGCCATAGCTGGGTTACCTTGGTAAGCGGCTTGATCTCTTTGAGCCTCATTTTCCTCATCTGTTAATTGGGGCTAGTCATGCCCTCCCTCCTGGGATGGTTGGAAGAGTTACCTGCAGGGCTTCCCTGGTGGCGCAGTGGTTGAGAATCTGCCTGCTAATGCAGGGGACACGGGTTCGAGCCCTGGTCTAGGAAGATCCCACACGCCGCGGAGTGGCTGGGCCCATGAGCCACAAGTACTGAGCCTGCATGTCTGGAGCCTGTGTTCTGCAACAAGAGAGGCGGCGATAGTGAGAGGCCCGCGCACCGCGATGAAGAGTGGCCCCTGCTCACCGCAACTAGAGAAAGCCCTTGCACAGAAACAAAGGCCCAACACAGCAAAAATAAATATATAAATTAATAAAACAAAGGACTAGTCTTTGCCAAAGAATGATTGAAGTTTAAAAAAAAAAAAAGAGTTACCTGCAATAATACTAGTTCCTAATAAGCATTCAATGAACAGCAGCTGTTATTATGTTCTTACATTTTACATATTGGTTTGTCTTTACTAAAAGGACACCTCCTGTAGATGACAGGAGCAAATGAGAGCACTGTTTCTTTAGGGTTCTAAAACACACCATTCCTCCAAGCTGGTTCAGAGTACCTCTACATTCCAAGTCTATGAAACATGACTGATTTTGCTTGGCCTAGAACACCCTGGCTTTTCATTCCCTTGGGACGAGCATGGACCGAGATGACGGCCGGGACCATCTGGGGGCTGATCCATCCAGTCATCTGAAAACACTCCCATGGTTTTTCAAGAGGACCAGCATTATTTCTCTTCTAATAGAAGATGTGATGCAATGACTAAACCTGTTTTAATGCCCCCTTGGGAATTTGATAAAAGTCATCTTCCTCAAAAAAATGCCAATGCACACAAAAGTTTACAGAGTCAGTTCTCGTTCCTTGTGGTGGTTATGTTCTATGACTGCTAGGGATACTGAATTCATGAGTATGGAACCACTGCCCTAGAGAAGATACAGAGTTAGGGTCCTGCCAGCCTCTGGTCACAACATTTTCATCAACTGATCAATGCATAACTTTGTGTTATGTGTGGTTCTGTTTAGAGACACCTGATTTAATAGAAATTGATTCATTAACATTGAACTCACAGCCAGCACTCCAGCACTGTAACTCATGCCTGAATGAAGCTTCTCTAACACATATTTTCCTCTGTAAGGAACATCACAGCCTTCTTGCACTTAGGAACACTAGGCAGCTCTTCAGCACTGTGCCTGGGGCCTTTTTAAACAGTGAAATCACTAACAAAAAGTACAAGAGGCACATAACATGGAATTAAATGACTGCGAAAAGTCACTTGTTTACAGTGTCAGGGCCAAAACAAGGAGACAATGTTGCCTTGTTCAACTTTAGCTGAAGTGTGCGTATTGGGTGACTCAAAATTTTTGCTGCACTGCACAAGTGTGTGTCTGCAGATGACTACAAAAGCACCAAGAGTATTGATCCTGGGATTACAAATAAATCTTAAAAAGTAGATGAATTTGCAAATACAGAATCTGCAAATAATAAGGATTGCCTTATATCGTCTCCAGGCATTCAACCCATGGAAGCCAATTCTGTGATAACTGGGGCAGGGTGAAGTGTTTTACCTTTCGCAACCCGTAGGAATGTGTCTAAGCCAGGAACAAGTAAAATGTCTTTCAGTATAGGTATGGGCATCCTTTACCAGACGTTTCCATTATTTTCTTCCTTGATATTTTATACCTCTGGACTATGTTCAAGGCCAACAATGAAAAACCTAGACTTTTGGGGGGAAAATGAGCATATTATTATAGAAAGTAAAACTATTTGGTGCTTTCTTTTTTTTGGGGGGGGGGCGGGGTGGTACACGGGCCTCTCACTGTTGTGGCCTCTCCCATTGCAGAGCACAGGCTCCGGACGCGCAGGCTCAGCGGCCATGGCTCACGGGCCCAGCCACTCTGCGGCATGTGGGATCTTCCCGGACCGGGGCACGAACCCATGTCCCCTGCATCGGCAGGCGGACTCTCAACCACTGCGCCACCAGGGAAGCCCTATTTGGTGCTTTCTTACATTTATTATTATTGGCTTTAGCAGTGAAACGTTTATCTTTCTCAAAAATGTCTGATTATAACTATGTGAAAAAATACGCATATGCAGAAAGATTGGGAGGAAACAAGAGAAAAATGAAAGCAGTTGTTAGGGTGGCAGAATATGAAAACATTTCTCCTTCAGAATGTGCTCTTCAGTGTTGATGTTATGTGATCTCAGACATAAACTGGAGAAAAAAACTTCAATTAAAACAATATGACAGGGAGTAGAAAAATGACCAATGAAAATATATTTAAACACAGGGGACTTAATAATCTTTCATCATTTGTTCTTTGGAAGTTAGCTCACATTGGCAAAAAAAGATTGTTAATTCCATGTTACCCACCATTTCTGTTCTGCAGCATTCTCTAAGGTCCGTGCTATTCCTCTGCAGGGTGGATTTTAATATTCTAAGCCCTTTGGATGCTTTCATTCCTGCAGACACATGATGTTAGACAGAAAGTAGAAGACCAGAAGTCAAGATGTAAATGGCGCAGGTAACCAGCACATTATCAGGTATCTCTGGGAAACAGGAAACTCAGCAACAAGTGATTTTGTGAGAACTACCAAGGAGAAAGTCCTGAGAGAAATAGCCGGCAGGCGTGCCAAGTGGCCTGTATAAGGCAGATTGGCCACAGGTGCGACCTACAGCCTTTGAGCACAGAATCTGGTGCAGTTCATGGGAGCACATGCCTTAGTAAAATTCCCCCTGAAGGCCATAGCCATCAGCCAATCCAGGATTTACTGAGCACATTTAATATGGCAGGCTGGACAACATGTGGCGGGCACCAAGAAAAGTCAGACCCAGTCCTTGGCCTCCAGTCACAATCTGCTTGCGAAGACAGGATTCGGTCACGGAAGGAGCCCTGGGCTCGATGAGCGCCCAGCGCTGAGCTCCCACTGGTGCCAGACCAGGTCTAGGCTTTTGGGACACACAGTGAATAAGAGAAAGTCCCTGCCTTCAGTTGCTCAGATTTTTGTGGGGGAGACAGACAATAAACATGAAAACAAATCAAGAGGACTGCTTCCGACAGAGATGAAGTGCTACGAAGAAAACCAATGGCAGTGTTATAAAAAGTGCTTGGCCTCTTTGGGGACATAGCACGTGAGCTCAGGTGATGGGAAGTCAGCCAGCTGCAGCAAGATCTGGGGGGGCAGATTTCAGTGGCAGAGGATCTACGGTATGTGTGGTACATCAGGAGACCAGTCCAGAGGGAGGAACGGCGCCTGTAAGGAGGGAATCCTCCAGGGGGTAGAGGACATGAAGTAAGGTCGGACTCTATTCTGCAGGTCAGGGCTGCCTGCTACTCCCTGCCTTTGCTCTCGGAGCAGATACTCTCTCCCACCAGGCCCAGGGGCAACCTCTCAAGCAGACACTACTAATCAACTAGAACTGAGGTGTGAGTTAAAGACAATTTGTCACCAGCACTATAAACAGTGGGAAGCCTTTTAAAGGGTATGAGCAAGAGACTTTCAAAATAAAAGGAGTGTTTTAAGAAAGATGAATCCAACCATGGTATGCAGGCTAACTTGGAGGGAACTGAAATGAGTGTTCAGCAAGGCCACTCAGAAGAGAATATTAATTGTGGACATTTATTAAGCACCTACTATGTCCTAGCACTTTACAACTTTATCCATTTTTATCAACCTCAAAAGGCAGATGTTATTGTTCCCTTTGAGCAGATAAAGAAACTGAAACTCAAAGAAGGAAAGTCAGTTGTTCAAGTGGAGAAATGGAGACCTAAGTCTCTCCGTTCCAATGCCCTCTCTCATTTCCCTGTGGAACACTGATACTCTGAGCACAGGTCAGTAGGAATTTGGATGGAAAGATATGAGAAACATAAAGGAAAAACTAGGGGGAGTTGATGCAGGCAAGGGTAGGGTCAAAGATGGTGGCCACAACAAAAGAAACTTGGTTTTGGTTGCGGAGAACAAAGTGTTGAGTGACACACACACCGGTACTTGGGAGGAGCGGGATGGGGAGTTGGGGCTGCAGGGCGTATTTTTAGTTGTTTTATAAGCTTCTGCATTTTTTTGCAATAAGTGTATAATTTTATAATTTAAAAAGTTAGATTATTTAGAAATCTAAGTCTTTTTCTCCTGGGTAACTGAGAGATGCCACTGACAGAATTCAGGAGACGCCAAGTTTTGGCTTGGGGTTAAGATAATACATCCGATTTAGACCCATGGATTGAGGCACTGGTGGGACAGCCAGGTGACAACGGCCCGTAGTGTTTTAGTTCCAATTCAGGATTCAGGGGCATTTGTGGTTCTAAGCTCTGACTCTTCATTTTGGAATGCGGCCAACCTAGGCCATCCTGTCTGCCACTAGGCTAGCCACTCAAGTCAAAAGCTCAGGAGATCCATGGCAAACCTCCAGCACCAGCGTGGCACCGGAGCTGGACCCAGAACGAGGAGAAGTGACACCGCTCTGGGCATATTCTTCATTTGTTCACAGTTCCCAAGACTGCTCCTGGCAGGGCGGTTGGGGAGGGCAGGAGAGGGACCCCCTCTGGCATCCCTGGCCCCAGCGAAATGCTGGCCCTCTAGTCCAGGAGCGGGCCCTGGCCAGGAGACAACTTCCTGGGGTCCTTAACCTCTCCGTGCCCTGTTTACCTCAAAGCAATGGGGTTGTGAGCAATGGCTAATAAAAAGAGCCCTTTGACAACTAGCAGTTTCCATAATCACAACCATAACAAGAACAATCATAATAATATGTCCAGGAAAAACAACAGTTCACTGAATATTTGAGAGTAGATTCCTGAGGTGGGAGTCAGATGCCCCCATAATCATCTTACTCAAGATGCTTTTTAATAGAAGGTAATAACCAGAAATGAAACCATCAACATAATATACGCCATGTCATAAAAAATAATTGTCGGGTCAGCCAGCCTCCCTGGAGCAAGACTTCCCCTGCCTTACTCCTTCGTTGCCAGCCTCGGACTTATTCTTTACCGTCACTTAGCAGATACCTGTCCTCGGTGTCCGGGCTTTCAGAATCGGAGCAGAGAGAGCCCAGTAAGCCGATACACATCGTC